GAATGCGATGTGGCCTATACAATGACTTGCGGGGGCCAGCCGATGTACAAGTCAGTGTTTTTATCCTCCCAGACAAGTCTGGTACCAATTAACCGACCTCGGCGACTCACGACCCAGGATTTGATCCCCGGACCGCTCGCGTGGTAAGCGTGCCACTTGGTTATGATACATCGCTAAACTGTGTGCAAATTGTAAGTGTCCATTAGAAATGAGCATTGAATACGCACCAAGACCACACCCGTTTTATTCACTTTCCCTACCACTAGGGGTATTTGACAGTATATGTTTGGAAGCAGTGGTTGGTGCTTATGGAGCCACGATGAGTACTAGTCCAAACACTGCCGGGCGCATTACACGGTTGCACACAGCAGAACGGGCCACTCATGAAACACAGCCAATGCATTTTGCAAAGCCCCGCCACTATTATTTACATAGGTAGGTCAAATGACCCCAATCCCTTAATTTTCACCAGCTTCATGAGTTTGCCGTGTGATGCGCGCGGTTTCATACGGAACCGAACTAATTTATCATGAAGACCTTGATTATGAATGCTCACATCCGTGGCACAATGCTTTCGATGTTCCGTTGAACGTATAAATGACTCAGCTTCGCTGTAGCTAAACACCAAGTGAAAGCACTGCCAATCTAATCTCCGGACCGTACAAGACCGAATAGGCGATTCTTCCCAATGCTTGCTGCTATTTTTCATGTTATTGAGTAGTCCAGTTTCTCTCATGTCCTCTACTTCAAGCATGCTTATTATTTGAAATGGGAAATTTAGCGAAAATGCACGATAGAAATTACCGATGCCCCCATATCAGCCCAGCAAGAACTTGCTAATTGCTCCAATCCAGCTGAGAGCGCTCTCTGCTTTCTTTTTATGAAGAACTCACCTCTTGTGTGGAATTTTTAACGTCAATGTATCTGCAAAGGTCGTCGTTGGCATAATGACACGATATCGCCTTCCTGAAGCCTAAAACAGGTAATAAAGAAGGAGTTCCAGTGCGAACCTCTGCATTGCCATGCTTTACCTTGTAGAGATCGAGTACAGAACTAGCCCAAAACTTTCTTCCCGCGCTATTTACAGACCACAAATTGGCAGACCCTGTACCTTTGATATACAGCCTGCCTCATTATGGAGAAAACTGCAGCACTCAGTTGCATGTGGAATTTGCTTCCAGAAAGCGAAGTGGGAAGGGATGAATTATGAATGAATTGGGTAACTAGGAAGCAGGGCTGACTTCGAACCTTTTTATAAATTTCGCGACCCCCCTTTAGGGGGTCTCGATGCGACCCTCCCACCATCACCATGAGACTCAGGAGGCTCCCCCAATACGACCACTCTTCTTCCTACCCCGACACCACCCTCGCCATCATGGCTGTTTCATAGTATTTGATTCTGAGACCAGTCGACCCATCTCCGCCCACGTTCCCTCTAAATTGATGCCGAACGGGGGGGGGCAACCCCTGAATGGGACCCCCCTTCCCAAGACCAACGAAATGCGACCCCATCGTTCAAATGTGCGAACGGCACGTTACCCCGCCTGCTAGGACCGAACCGTGGGCAGTAAAATGGTAAAAAAAATCCATCCAAGCGTCTGTATAAAAATGGATGATAGTCGAACACATGGCGCGTAGTTCTCAGATCAGGCGCAGACGTAAACTCGAACAGCTCTTTTCATTTTCCACATACCTTCAGTTCTGTTGGCTCCTGATCCGTGAATGAGTATTGGGTGGAAGAACACTGTGTCACCTGCTTCCATCTCCACATGCAATCGCGGCATCGACGTGTCGTAATCCTGGATGCCGTGGTAGGCTTTGTTCACGCCTCCCTAAACAGATTCACACTTCGGAGTTAACTTCTGATGCAAAGACAAGGACAAATATTGTTGATGCTCGACACAATGAGACCTACCTCCCATTTCGGATAGCTGTGAGGGAGCAGCGTTCCCTTGTGGGTCCCAGGCACTACCACCAGACATCCGTTGGCACGGTTCACCTGAAAGGCTATAAAACTGAATGGCGGTGGGTTGCTCTGAGATTTTAAAGGTCACCTTCTCCATGGCCGTCCATGCGCAGCAAATGAAATCCGCCGGTCGGAAGGGGAAGTAATGCAGATCCTGATGCATTGGATGTCGAGAGGTGAGCTTCCCTATCGTATAACTTCTTTCATGGTAATCCTTCGTGCGAGCATAATGTCTCGCAGGCTTGTCGCTCAAAGGGTGTGGAGCCCAATATCATGGCTGTGGTGACGTGCGATTTCAGCTATCTGACGCTGCCGTAACGCTTTCGCATGAAATTACTTCGGTAGAGGTCGCTCACTTTGAGCTAAAATTTTGAGGAAATTTGAAATGGTGAATAGCTTCCAATTGCTGCAGCTATATTGAAGAGAGCGAATCAACCCTTTGACGACAATGCGGATTTGCACGTAGCTTGCTCATGGGACCACGCCTCTTTTTGGCGCGCCCAACTCTCGCTCACAATTGGGCAAAATTTCCCTCAAAGCAGTTTTTCTACAGAATTTTTGACTTTGACAGTAACCAGATATAGATGCAGTTCAGGCTTTCATACTGTATATTGTTTTCGAAGAATTCCAAAATTATGGAGTGGAAACTCGGTTTTTAAAGGGAAGGAGGGCAAACCTCTAAAAGTTTAAGTGTCCAAGAGAATTTTCGATACACTTCAAACCCTTCCCATATTCTGAGGGCTATGAGAAGACGAAGAAGTCCTGATTAGTAATTAATCTTCAGCCTAATAATGCAAAACCCCAATTAATATGCTGGCGAGCTAAATGGCACATTCTAAAATTCTATATAAATTAGCTCTTAATAAACATTTCTGTAAGCCGTGCTAGTCATAGATATTATGGAACTTGCTTATAATATTGGGTGCTGCAGATGTCTCAAGACGGAAATTTCAAGGTGGCACCCACCTTTGGTGCCATTTGTCCCACGCGGCGAACATACAGTACCGTGCAGTGAAGTATTCGTTTTCACTTTTTTCGAACGTAACTTCCGTCAAAACTCAAGCTTTTGCTCCGATTTTTTTACTGTTAATGCACTTAACTAGAAGTGATAAGAGAGCGGATTTTCGGTTGTCTAGGTGACTTGGAAAATATTTTCAGGATTTTTTAAACTTTTTTGGTCAAACACCATCTTTCTTGATCGGACTTTAAGCCTATCTAAATTTCCAAATTAACAACCCAAGCAGCTGTGTATCAACAAATGTAACAACTGCAACTTCAGTACTTTGTTATAAAACCTTTGGCGTCTTGACATCTGCACGGCATACACTCGATGAGCTCCTGGGGATGTTCTCCATGCCGTCCTCAGTTGAGCGAACTTTTCGCGCGTTCGTTGTGAGCCCTGAGAGCTTTAACTTAACGTTAAAGTTCTTCCCACAGGATGTTCGAATAGATTCAAGTCGGGGGACTGCGATGACCACTGGCAGCAAAGGGAACGGTACCACTCGGTGAGCAGTTCGATTTGTGCTTTGGGTCATTGTCCTGTTGGAAAATGAACTCACTTTGGGACAGCACTGGCGAACATACTGCCAGCCGACAGTCTCCGTAATCTCAAGGTACATTTTAGAATCCGTGTCACTCTTGATCGCCATGCATGGGACCGACTCCCGTGCCACACAAGCTGCGGTGCACCGTCAGCGCACTCCGCCTCTGCACGGGAGAGGCGAGTCGATAGCTGACACCTTGGATGGTATCTGGTACCAACGGAACGTCGCCCAAACTTCGACTCCATTCCGTCCCAATCAGCAAAAACTTCGAATCATCACTTCAGATGACCTTTCGCCACTGCTGAACAGTCCAGTTCTTGCAAACATTAGCCCAGTCGAGTAGCGCCTTACAGTTCTAGATGGAAATCAGCGGTGTCTTAACAGAGCGACTTCTCAACAGACCAGCCTTTCTCAGGCGACGTCGCACGGTGTCTACGAATGGGCTTGAACCTCGGGCGTCGATAATTCTCGGAGAATGTCGGCTGCAGTGAGACGCAGGTCACTCCCCTGCAAGCGGCACAATGTTTCTGTCGGCGAGATGAGAAGTCATTCTTGTGCTCTCAAGTGTTTTCTGATTTTGGCAAAACCCGCTGTGCTTGAATCTCTTCCGAATCACTTCAAACACATCGCATTGAAACTCCTTGAATTTCGGAATTTGCCTAATTGTTAAGCCTTCATGGAAGCTCCGAATGATGGCGTCGACCTGTCCTGCCGCAAGTGTGGCAAGACGCCAAAGGTTTTATAACAAAGTACTGAAGTTGCAGTTGTTACATTTGTTGTTACACAGGTTGTTCCGTTGTCAATTTGAAAATTTAGATAAAAGTTAAACAAGAAAGTTGTTGCTTGACCAGAAAATTCAAAAAATCCTAAAATATTTTATAAGTCACCTAGACAACTGAAAACCCGCTCTCTTATCACTTCTAGTTAAGTACATTAACAGGAAGAAAAATCGGAGGAAAAGCTTGAGTTCTGTGGAAGCGAATGCTTCACTGCACGGTACTGTAGTGGCACCCATGGCACCGATGGGTGCCATTGTCGTCATAACTCAGGCAACTAACTTACACGGATAGCGCACCGTACGAGAGCTTAGGACAACGCTTTTCGCAGTTAAAGGGGGGGCGAGCGACACCACTCAGCAACTGGCTTTTTTTTTGCAAGCAACAGTTCAATGATAATTACAAGAGGGGCCATGAACGGGATAACATAGCCCAAGAAGGTTGCATCTCGACGGCGCTTGTCATCCAGCTGCAATGAACGTGAACATGATGAGAACTTGAAGAGAATATGAATGCCACGTGCAATGTCGCATTTGCGACACCATCTTCGCTGTGTCGTCGCAATGTGTCAGTTTCAGATTTTTTTGGAGGTGGGCACACTTATACAACTGAGTGCCTTGAAGGTGGTATAATGATGGACTCTGGGTGGAGTAAAGCAGATGGGAGCAACATAAGAGGAGTAGTGGCGAAAAAGCAGGGATCGTCAAAAGCCCCAAAGTATCGAGCCCTTATCTTGCCTGACTATGGAGGCTAACAACAAAGGAAAAGCTCGAGTGGAGGTGTTAGGGACATGTTTTGATGCATGAAGTTTCCTTTCGAAATAAAAGCGAACGTGCTGCAACTTATAACACTCTGGTGGGAAGTGAGATTTTGGGTGCGCCACGGTTTGTATGTTCGGGTCAATGAAAAATGATTCCACGATAAGGCAAAGGTCGAAGAAGGAGAAACTCATCTGGTGGAAGACAGCGGACCTCTTAACTAAAGTGCGGACTGTACAAGCATTTCGCTCCTCGAAAGTACGCCCTCCGAATCAGCCATGGTCTTCCCGCCCAGTTGGTACTGACTAACTGGCTCTGTACGCCTACTTTCGCGGTCGCCCGCTACAGTCTCTATACCCGCATTCGGCATAGAGACGCTAGAACTGGAAGAGAGCAGCAACTCTATGCGATTCGCATCACTGGCGCAAACCATCCAGGCTAAAGAAAGGGTCCTATTTCGCTTGTTCTAGGCTACTTCTCTCTATGTTTTCATCTATCTCTGTCCATCACTAGCTTAATTCTCAATCAGCTGCCATTTCACATGGTGAAATCCGTCTTCAATATCACTAAACTAACTCTTTGTTCACCCCACTTCGCTTCCTGTGCTCCTGACCACTGACTATCACGATCACTGCTTTTGATAATTAATTGTAACTGGTGGGTGAGTGGCTATGCCGTATTAATGTCATGATTGCGAGCACTCTTCCCATAGCGATTTCAGCTTTTGAATGAAGGGAACCATCAGAGTTTCATCACTCATTTTCTATCAGAAAATGATTACCACTGTCCGGAGGTTTGTTGATAAGCATGGTGTGCACATTGCCAAAAGGTTAGAATTCCTCGATCCGATCAGATCCTTGACGACGTTCGACTACCTACAAATTTATTTATTTTTTCACTTTTCAAGCAATACCTGCTGAATTTACGCTCATTGACTTGTGTGAAAATCGTTACGTCTGGTCAGCTCTGTGCGCGAACGCACTTCAACGTGTGTCACTCGACACACATACGCTTTCCGTTTTCGAGATCTAGCGGTAGCGAATTTGCTATCGGAGGCATAAGATGTGAAAGATACGTTCCATTTATTGTCGTTGCTAGCTTGGTGGCAAATCTGCAGTCACATCCGAGCCGCCATTGGAGGAAATGTAACACACAAAGCTAATTTAAAGCTAAGCCTAAATTTTTTTCTTCATCTGCTTTTAGTGAATTTGGCAAGCTTACCAAAAAATATTCCATGCCCAGTAGTTTATCACACTTGAAACAAATATTCACAAAGTTCTACTTTTGAGAGCTTCAAATTTTTCAAATCTTCCCATTGAATCAGAGATTTAAAGGATGGCACAATTATATTCTTCTACTCAGTTCACTTTTGTAGTGTTCTATCCGATTTTCTTATAAAGTTTTGCATTCTGTTGTTTACGTTGTGGCACTATTTTGTTGCCCTTTTTCATATGCTTTTTGTACATGCAAATAAAATAAATAAAGTTGTCGTGTTGTGATGCCATTCCGTAACACAACTGGTGCAGTACACAGTTTCTGTCGCATACGAATGGCTTATATGGTCAAATCCCACTCAAGCTTAGGCTTCAGGTCTTGGAAGGAATAAAGAGGCAGCGAAATCCTTCCAAAATAGAAGCTAAACTGCGTGCTTTGACTTCTCCCCCTCGCAGAAAGAATTCCATGTATTGAAGTGCATGCACCCAAAGGCCCAACCGCCGTTGTTCCTCACACCTACGATTCTTTTCATATCTGATATATTTACAACGCCGTCTAACAAGATCATCACATACCATAAAAGTGTGACGCCATCTTCAAAAGTTTCAGGCAGATAAGAACTACAGAGCAAATGTGAGTATTGACTCTACCCCTCTGTACTGGCAGTAGTCGAACAGCACTGGATCATCTTGAAAGTCTTGCACCTTGGTGATCGCCTTTTCTCCAGAAACGAACTCTGATTTAGCGATCGCGATGAATCTCGGGCCATCACCGTCATGTTTATGTCGCCCGTCCTTGCCCTGACAGATTTCCTGCAAGAATGAAGGTGAATATACGTATCAGCTCTACTCTGAATAGTGTCATTCCTCTTCCAGCAGAAATTTTCGCTTAGAAATTCGAAGTTTTCGCATATGTCGCATAGTATTGCAAATGGATTTTACTGCCTGATGAAATGTTCTCTTACTTCTAATTTTGTTCACAAGAAGCTTCATGTTCAAAGCTGCAAAGAGTGGTTTTCGTCGGAACAAGAAATAATTAAGAAGTGGCACATAATCCCAACTCATTTTGAAAATTGCAAGAAAACAATGCTGTCGATCCGAAGAAGGCGATTTTGCCGCAATGTGAGCCGAATAATAGGCTAATATCTTTCTTCCGGACCCAAGTAGGAGTGAGCAAACTATCCTACTTACTATAAAGCGCTTCGTCTGTCGTCTGTCGTCTGTCGTCTGTCGTCTGTCGTCTGTATGTCTGTCACGAAATTCCCTAGCTCCTCGGGATCCGCCTGGAGGGACCGGGTCAAGTGTGGGATGGGTGGGCAAGGTCTCACGAATACAAAACACACATCAGCTAAGCGGAGCCCCGCCCACAGGCGTGGCGTGCGTCGAAATGAATTGTACCGAAGACCAAGATTTCGATTTCAGTGACAAAACGACCTCGAAACTGGGCCAAAAAGTGGGTAAAGGTGTGCATTGGTAAGTCACACATCGAATTAGGGAGACCCACCCCCGGTGGGCGGGGCGTTCTCCAAAAAAGCAGTGCTTTATGAAAAATTTCATAACTCGGTTGGGAGAAAGCCTACAGAGCAGAAAACAATTTGGTGTAAGGGAGCAATGTCTAAGGTGTTTCCTGCATACATGACGTGGGCGGAGGCCGCCCAGAATGGGCGGGGCGCGCTCTGAAGTGTACAGCATTTTCTACAAGCCCTCATAATTCGGGTCGGGGAAGTCTTAAAGAGCCGGAAAAAGGTGGATAGAGGTGTATGGAGGAGTGGAGGCCAGCTGTCAATGGTGGGCGGGGCTTGACCAAAGTGGGCGGAGTTTGCGACGAAAATTCATAACTCGGCTCCAAGAAGTCCCGGAGGCCGGGAAAAAGGTGGATAGAGGTGGGTGGAGGAGTGGAGGGTTAACTGTCATCGGTGGGCGGGGCTTGACCAAAGTGGGCGGAGTTTGCGACGAAAATTAAACTCGGCTCCAAGAAGTCCCGGAGGCCGGGAAAAAGGTGGATGGAGGTGGGTGGAGGAGTGGAGGTTAACTGTCATGGTGGGCGGGGCTTGACCAAAGTGGGCGGAGTTTGCGACGAAAATTATATAACTCGGCTCCAAGAAGTCCGGAGGCCGGGAAAAGGTGGATAGAGGTGGGTGGAGGAGTGGAGGTTAACTGTCATCGGTGGGCGGGGCTTGGCCAAAGTGGGCGGAGTCTGCGACGAAAATATAAAACTCGGCTCCAACAAGTCCCGGAGGCCGGGAGAAAGGGAGTAGAGGCCGGCAAAGGAAAGGAGGTCAACTGCTATTAGTGGGCGGAGCACGCACCATAAGTGGGCGGAGTTTGCCAAAAGTGTCGTAATTTGGTTCCAAGAGGTCCCAGAGACCGGTGAAAAAAGGGGTAGAGGTCGGCGAAAGGAAGGGGCCAAATGCTATTGGTGGGCGGGGCACGCACCGAAGTAGGCGGAGTTTGCCACGAGATTTATTGTCCGGAAGCAGTCCGGAGACCGAGAAAAAGAGGATAATGGTTGACGAAGAAAAAAAGGTTGAAAGCCGTCGATGATGGAGCGGATAGAATTTAGCTGAGAATTCAGATATTCGTAGTGTATCAAGCCAAATTTGAAAATTTTCGTCGCACCATCAAAATTCGCCAGCAGATCTGTGTTGCGCGCGCAATGCGTGCGGCGCCAACTGGTTTCTATAAGCTATTGATAGAGTCGATGGTGGAGTTGTCTGTTTGAAAGTAGCGATTACGATAATGTGGGAGCGCATCTGGGAAGCATAGGGACCACACGAGTAGGCACTATTTACCCTTTACTGCTCCACTCCTCCAGAACTGAGTCGAATATTTATCGCAATTTGTCACGACCAAATATTATGGGCCTAGAAAGGTCTCCGACGTAGTTTCACGGTGCCGTAGGACACGGATTATAACCATTTGTTTAACGCGGAAACGCTTAGCGCCTGCACCACAAGTGCCGGCGCCAAAAGGCGCCAGAACACTTGTGTCACCAAATTTGCTGGAAAACTTGTCTTCAAAGGTGTTCTACCCATAGAACATGAATGTCACAGATTTTCACGAGTGGGCTTGTAGCCTGCGCTGCGGGTGACGGTGCCAAACTGAGTGATAGCGTCGTTGCCTGGGCGCAAACCGACAAAATATTCGTATTCTGCGACCCCCCCCCGGAACAGCATTCTAGCCAAATGCGTAATCATGCATAATTTCGATTAAAATTCGGCTTGATTCTTGAGATTGGGGCAGTAAAGGGTAAAAAGTGCCCACGAATCAGTTACTTGGCTGCCAGGGGAGCAAGGCGTAGCGCTTTCACGACGGGTTCGCTACTTGTTGAGCAGGCTTCGAAAGCGCTCGCCCCAAAAGCGATCCGCCCGCTAGTTTAGTTGTGATTTGGACGAGCAGCGTTGCCAGCAGCGACACAACTACAGTAACTCCACTCCCGTTCCATACGGAGTACCAATTATCTGAATATTGAAGAAGGGCGACTGGAATTTTTGCCATAGGCTCCACCCTCTCCGTTGCACACTCACCAACTCCAGAGATTTAATCCTCCTCCTCCGCTACCTCCTCCGCTAGTCCTAACTATCACTCTGTGAACTCTCTCTCTCCTTCCCTTCGTTTCATTGACAAAATGTGATCTGAGGTGTTGGGCTGCAGCCCAATTCTCGAGTTATCCACCGTTAGGAAAAATAAGATACCTTGAATCTTCTTTTATAACGTTCCAGCTCGTAGTTGGGCACACAATTCCTTATGAGGAGGTAACCGTTCTTCTCATAGAACAGCTTCTGTTCCTTAGACAAGACCGTACCGTCGGTGTCCCATTGCAGAACTCCTTGTCCAAGAGTTGCCATTGAAGGTGCCTAAGTTGAG